TGAGCTTCCGCTAAACCCGATCAGCCAGAACATAGAGCAAAGCATTCTAGGTTTGAAGGCAAACTACAGAGGGTTATTACAATTTGACCAAAAGGGACACAAAGCACGCCTTTACAATAAAATACAAGGCATTTTATACATTTTGGCAGCTAGTCGGATATCCTGTGCCTTCCCTTGATTGGCTGGGAACCAAGCCAACTGGGATCACTGCAGGGATGTGATGTCTGCATCATAGACAAGGGGGGGGGGGTGTCCCTAGGGGTGGTCGCTCATTGGTTTGTTAGGGGTGTAGTGTCCAAATTTGGTGTCAATTCACCCAGTGGTTATTGAGTTATGTCAATCCCACAAACGAACATTACATTTTTATTTATAGAGATGATATATGCTTCATAATGTTGCTTGGAATCAAGACTTAAATGAATCAACCTTGCAATATACCGTGACTAAGACTTGGCTCTTTTGAACCAAAATTCTCTTGAAGCTTTTTCAGTATTTTTTTAGCTGTAGTTCAACCTTTGATAAATACTAGCTGTTCACCTTGCAATGGATTGGTTTTAATGTCTCAAGCAATTTGCACCACTTTTCATCCAAGAATTTCCACCACCGCCTTCTGGTCTGTCACATGCAATACATCCCCAAACATTTAGTGCATCAAAATACGTTAAAAAATCCTCTGGTGCCAATGATGAAAATGATCAGTTGTTAGCGTCATCTGTCCAAAGTTCCCACTTCTCTCTAATGAGGACATCTGACTAAGTTTGCAATTGTCCAAAGTAAGAGGGAGCCAAAAGGAGGGAAATTCTCTTGACTGCTGTGGGTTCAAAAGCAAACGTGGTGGAGGTAAAGGGAAAGAACGCTCTTAAAAAGGAAACAAAGCCACAAAAAACATGATCTGCTGCTCTCGAACTCAGGAGTTCATTAAAACAACAGCAACAATCACTAGCAATGGAAATAATAACAATCAAAAAACCACAGTAATATTGGCAAAATACAGTAATATTGGCAAAACAAATCTGAGAAAGTTAAATTCCTAACAAAAACATGAAGATATTAAACCTGTTGGTAAAAGGATTGCACAGAGCAAGCAGAAAAAGGAGGAGGTGTTCTTTGCTGTCAGAAAAAGGGAAATGCAGATTTAGGTCCCTTTGTTATTCTTTCTCTTCCTTCAATCATATTAGTTTAAAAAGAAGTCCAGCAAACTCCAAGGGGTGAAAAATATATCAAAACATGTACATCAAGTCACAGGCAGGTATCGTGAGGTGACGGTACACAGTAAAC